CATATCTAAAACATCTGATTGGTGTAATAAAGAGCAGAACAGCCCATAGCTAGGCAGGAGAGATGGACAGGTGAGGATGCCAGGCAAAGAGAATACATAGGAGGAGAAATCTAGGTTCTAGAGAAGAGTGAGGTGTGAAACAAGAAGATGGAGAGGAGGATGCCAGGGGCCAGCCACCCAGTCACAAAAGCAGTCATGGTATAAGAAAGAAAGATAAGTAGAATAAAGAAAGGTTAAAAAGCCTAGAGGCAAAACATGTTTAAAGAGAAACAGGATAATTTAAGTTAGAAAAGCTAGCAAGAAACAAACCAAGCTAAGGCTGAGCATTCATATGTAAGAATAAGTCATGTATTGATCTGGGAGCTGCGTGGCAGGCCCCCAAACAGTAAAAAACAAAATAAAACAAAACAAAGCCCTTCATGTTTCTGACATATCAACAGATAGTCCCTAGAATTCATAATTTACAAATATCAAGTCTAAATCATTGGTGAAAATGCCACATATTTAATAATCTTTCCAAAACTTCACCTGTTTAATAAAGACTCAATAACTACGGCTCAACCAATGAGATTTCTATCACTTATTCAGAAAGATAATGAAACTGTTTGCTATATTTCCTTATATAATATCTTTGACTCATTAAGAAAAAAAAATATCACTTAGACTCCTAGATCTCTATTGGACATTAGATGATGATAGTTCAATGGTGCTCCATTTGATTGAGACCTCTTCCTATAATGGTCATATATTTCTTACTAATTATTTTGTTTATTAATGATTAATAGAAAAGATACACTATATCATGCTTGTGCTGTGAAAAAACACCATGATTAAGGAAACATAAAGTAAAGAGTTTCATTGGACCTACAGTTGTAGAGAGTTGTATTTATGATGGTAGGATGAAGGCATGGGAGTGAGTGACTGGAAGAGCAGCTGACAGCTCACATCTTGGGAGGTAAAGCGCTCATTGAGGACTATGAGATGCTTTTGGAGCCTCAAAACTCATGCCTGTGACACACTTTATCAAACAAGAACACATCTCTTACTCCTTTTCAAAATAGCCCTACCAACTAAAGTCCAAATATTCAAACGTAAGAATCTATGAGGGTCATTCTGATTCAAACTACTACATTTTATAAACCATAAATAATTCACCCAGGAAAAGAATATTTGAGATGGGATAATGACTCAGTGTATAATGTACATACTGTACAAGTGTGAGGATTGTGAGTTGTGATGCTCAGAACCCATGTCAAAGCAGGATTCTGGAAATGTGCCTCTATAATCCCAATGCTTCTACTACAAGATGGGGAAATGAGACAGGAGAATCTCCAGAGACTTTTGAGCCAGCTAGCCCGACATAGAAAGAGTCAAACATCAAAGAATAAATTCTGTTTCAAACAATGTGGAAAGTGAAGACTGACACTCAAACTGTAATCTGACTTTCTCAAATTCATGGTGGCATATGTACACCTGCACCCACACATGCTCATGAACCACAAACGCGCGCACGCACGCGCGACACACACACACCAGAGAGAGAGAGAGAGAGAGAGAGAGAGAGAGAGAGAGAGAGAGAGAGAAATGACAATATGAGTCTACAAAAAACTTAGACATCCAGGCTGAAAATTTGATGTGATAAGTACAATGATAAGGCAATGCTTGGCCCCATAGGAATGCTTTGGAGTATTATTTAATGAAAATTAGTGATGAAAGAAATCAGATAGTATTTACTTTTTGACTCATTGTGATACATTATTATTATTATTATTATTATTCATGGAATTGGAGAATGACCATTTTAAGCTGAGTTACTAAGCTGCTAAAATATTATGCAGAATTCAATGTTCCTGTAGTTTAGTCAATGAGAAGCCCTAATCATGACCTTGGGGTAGTTGAAGTCTCTTATCATGTGAAGAAGCTTAGTGTTTTTGGACTGAGAATGCACTGACATGCTTTCAGAAATACGTTGTTTTCGTTTCACTGTCTGGGGAGACAACGTAGGAGACAGAGCAACAAGTATTTATGACAGAGAGAGACCATTGGGTTATGAAGGAAAGAATAATCAAGCTGATGAAAAAACTTAAGTAAGAAAATTTCAGGAGACTTGATCTGGACACACAATGCATCTTAAGTCATATTTTGTTTCTTTAGAAGAATAGCTGATGCTGGATAACTTACAAAAGAGAGAGGCTTATTGTGGCTCACAGCTTGGAAATTCAAGAACATGGCAGTGACATCCAGTTGCTTTGGCTTACGGTCTCCTGAAGAAGAGAACTAAACTTCCTCAATAGTCCATTCTGGTGAACAAAATGTTAACTATTTACTAGGGTAGATCTCCTTAATCCTCCAAATCTTTAAAGTCCCCATCCCCACCAACCAACATCAATATCTTGAGTTGGGGAAAAGTTTTACTAAAAACTATATCTGTTTTAGAGGACAGAAGCAGAATTCAAACTAGGAAAACGATACCTATGTACAGAGGAGTTTGATAAGCAACCAATCATTGCTTACCTGCAAGGAAGATGATGATAATGTGTTGATGTCAGAGGTCAGGCGCCCATAGCAACTTTACTATGAAAATATTAGGCAAATGTCTGGTTGGTTTTATTGAGTATTTGGTTTTTTTTGTTTTTTTTGTTTTGTTTTTTTTTGGTTTTTCGAGACAGGGTTTCTCTGTGTAGTTTTGCGCCTTTCCTGGATCTCGCGCTTTAGACGAGGCTGGCCTCGAACTCACAGAGATCCGCCTGCCTCTGCCTCCCGAGTGCTGGGATTAAATCTTCTATTTGACATCATCTGACTCTCTAGGAGGAGAGGTAATTTCCTTCATCATACACTGTAAGGCCAGTATCACTCAATGAAATCCAACTTCTTTACAGGTGAGAAAAATGGCAGAAAATATCCAATACAAATATATAAATGAGAACATTTTTCTCATAAGGTCAAATGGCTAGAGTCAGTTTGGAACGAAATAGTGACAAAGATCTGATTATTTCTTGGTCCTAGAAGTGTAGGAGCCATCTTGGTAGACTTTTGTTGCGTGAATCTTATGCGGTGGTTGTTTTTCTCCTGGCAGAGATCTTTCAGTAAGTGATCTTCTGGCTGGCAGTTTTACAGATTAGAAAGTAGGCCAGCTGGAGGTCATACTAAATTAAAGTTTGCTGATCATCAAGGACAGCAGCCCAGACGGCATCAATACAGAAAAACACAGGTGTCTACACAGAAAGAGATTAGTTTATGTCTCCTTCAGCCAATGTGAAAAATGCTTCTTTGTGGTGTTTTCTTCAGGAAGGAAATCACACAATATAGAACGCAGGAGAATGTTAACAGGTTACTATCTCTTTGCTTATCATTTCATTCACATATTTAAATAAAAGAAATGATTAGTGCATAGATGTTTTAAGGTCTATATACACCTTTTCATTATGTTAAGTGGAGTGGGATTTCAATTAACTAAACACCAGCCAAGTCAGTGCATTGTGAGCTTATTATTGATAATTTACATAGTTGGTATGAAGTGGGATAAGACATTTATATTTACTTAGTTAAGTATAAGTTAAAAAATTGTTCTATTAGCCAAAAGTTTGGCATTTTAACACACCTTAAAAAACTCAGAGAACATGATGTCATTTATTCATTCCATCATATAAAGTGCATTATATATCCATATGTACATGGATTCAAGCATATATAAATAAACAGATCTACATACACTTAAATCTATGGATTATCACTGGTTGCACGTATCATTTATATTGGTTCAGGCATAGAATATAGCTTCAAGGGTTGAGAGAATAATGTTTCTCTGTCCTCCGATGTCCTAAGAGAAAATTTCTAGCTATGACAAGAAATTAAAAACCAGAAACTTTTGGCACTTAAGGGAAAAAGCAAAAACTATGTGTGTCCTAAGTTTACCAATATTTATATATTCAAATGACATCAGAAGTATCACAATATACTTATTTCAGAGAAAGAAAATAGATAACATTTTGCCTATAACTGTGTTTTTTATTTTTTTTAAACTTTTATTTCAGTATAATGCTCAGCTGATTGACTGGTGTCACATTTCTTTTCTCATGATATTGGTTTCCTCCAGAAGGGGACTTTTAGAAGTTTTTAAGAAAAAAAATTAATTTCTGTTCATTGACTCATTGTTAACCATTTAATATCAAAACTGATATCCTTACTCATGATCAAATATATTTTCAGTAGTTGCTGTTTGGGTAATTGACTGCAAAACTGGATTAATGCATGGAAGGATGGACAGATGGATGGATGGATGGATGGATGGATGGATGGATGGATGGATGGATGAGAGGGTGGATAGATGGATGAATGGGAGGGTGGATGGATGGGTGGGAGGGTGGATGGATGGGTGGATGGATGGATGAATGGATGGATGGAAGTATGGATGGGAGAGTGGATGGATGGATGGATGAGAGGGTGGGTGGATGGATGGGTGGATGGATGGATGGGAGGGTGGAGGCGTGCATGAGTGGGTGGATATATGGAGAACTAAAACAGTGATCGAGCATGCTCTACAAGGAACAACACATTTTCTTCCCTCTCACCAGCTCTAGTGTGAAATGATTAGTCAGGAAGCTCAGGGATGAGCGTACCTTTATGGAACAAAAGGGCAAAATCAATCACAATAACATTTGGGTTTCTGTGGAAGCAATTTGGTAGAAATCATTTGCCTACCATTCGGCATTTCCTCTGAATTGCTAAGTACTACCCACTCTACTGATTGAGAACAGCTTCCTATACATGAGATCGGCATATGCAAATTAAATATCAGTGACTAAGGTGACATATGGCTTAATCTTTGCTTTAAGTGAAATCTTATCAGGCGTGAAAATGTTTAGTTGGAGATAGAATTCATCCTGACAGCATGAACTTTAGATGTTTTTCTCTCTCTCTTTTCTGAGCAGCAGTTATTGGTTTATCGTTAGTTTAATCAGAGGCAGACAAAAATGTGTTTGTTCTACATCCTCTCTGCAGCCCCACCTGCAAAATCAAGAATATCACACTGGAAACAAAGCAGACAGTGACACTCCAAGATTGATGGCTAATTCTGTCCACCTGTTCCCAGGTATGTGCATGGAGGCAGCTTCTCTAGCACTCTGGGCAACTCTCTGCAACTTGCCAAGCACAGAAAAGATAAAAGGAAACATTTCTCTTTAGTGTACATATGCCAGGAATCTGTTCTCCTAACTGACAGCCTGTCGCTTGATATTTCTCCATCACGAACACTGTAGAGGGGAACCCTCTTCTCTGACTCCTTTTATCTCTATTCTGAAAACCATATTTTCAGGGTGGAAAAGTGACCATCATCTCACTTTCTTCTTTACATTGATTTTCTTATATCTACTCTCTTTTCAATGGAGTTTCATTCATGTCCCCATTACTCCTACTTCTGCAGTTAATATTTCCTCTGACTAGATAGAGAAACGGTACATAACTTCTATGGTCTTTTATTGCTAAAAGCTGACTCTTACACAGAAGGGAAGGGAGTAAACATAATTTCTTAGAAAGTCATTGCACTGTTCCTTATATGGATGAACTGTTCACACATGACCTTCTAAGATGTCATGATTAGGTATTAGGTAATTCCTGTTTCCAGATGAGGCATAAAATAGGAGCTCATTAGGGACGTCACAATTAGTGATGGTCACCATGAATTGTGGCTGATGGCACTTCTCGAAATGTGGTGTCAGTATGCTTTCTGATATATGAAAATTGCTGTATATACGTGACTAATTTTTCATCAGTTATAGTTTATTCTTTTTGGAAGTTCACAAACTTTGTCTTACAAAGAGCCTAAGGGCATGGTTAGGTACATAAACCTTAGTTCTAAAAGTGCTGAGAAAGTGCTGAATGCCCTCACATGTGTGAACATGTAGAGCAGATTATGTAAAATAGATCAATGAGGTTCCAGTTACAGATATATTCTAAAATACATATAATCCAAATCATTTTCTAGTAATGACTGCATAATAAACAGTCTTTATAACATTTTCTATATTCTTTTGTAAAAGATAACTTGAGCTGACTAATTTGGACAAGAATTTCATGTGCTTCTTTGCAAATATCTCTTCCCCCTCTCCTCTCACAAACACACACACATACACACACACACACATACACACACACACACAGAGAGAGAGAGAGAGAGAGAGAGAGAGAGAGAGAGAGAGAGAGAGAGAGAGGGAGAGGGAGAGAGAGAGAGAGAGAGAGAGAGAGAGAGAGAGAGAGAGAGAGAGAGAGAGAGAGAGAGAGATTCTTGTGTGTGAAAGAGATATATGATAAAAGGTAGATGCATAGATAGGTAGGTAGATAGATAGATAGATAGATAGATAGATAGATAGATAGATAGATAAGTAGGTAGGGATGTGATAGACAGATACATATATTAGTTTGCAAAATTCAGCCAAGGCTTGCCTAGAACCAATTATGTGTTCCTGGTTGGCTTTCAATTATCAGTCATCCAGTCTCAACTTCTTGGTTGTTGATAGCATTCATAGATGTAAGTCACCACAGTCAGCTATGGAAATAATTTAAAAAATAAATGCTACTTTTAATACTGTGTATAGATAGTGGGCTATTTTTAAAGAAAAGATAGCAAATAAAACAGTTTTAATAATATATCTTTGTTTTGGGACAAGAAATGAAAATAAGACCATAACATTTGTATTCTGCAATAAAGCAACATAAAAAAGAAAATGTAAACATTCCTATAATTCATAAGTCAAAATAACACATCATTACAAATATGGTTGGCTTTCTTTGAACTTGTTTTCTCAGAAGAATTCCTTCTAGTTCTCTGTTTGACAAACTATTACTGTGTTTTTAAAATAATCTCTATTGTTAATTTTCTGTCATAAGATTATATTACTGATACTTGCCTTCCCAATAAATATTTTAACTCTTTACTCCTATTGCATTCCATAGATTTACAGTGATTAATTAATTTTAATCTTCATGAAAAATTAGGTTGTTGAATGATTTTTATCATCACAATAATGTTCAATAAAACTACTCCATGCTCCTCAGCTTTCTAGTACTATAACAAAATACTAGAGATAACCCACTTATGAAGAGAAATGTGTAAGCTGGCTCACAGATTCTAAGTGTTTGGTCTCTAACCAAGTGGAACTATTTTGATACGAGTTGAAGACCAATGATCTGTTGAAGAGTCTGCCTCCAATAACACTTTGAGCTAGAAACCAGAAAAATTCCTTATAAGGAAAATAATTTGAGGAAAGGTGGAAACTTTCTATTTATGTTATAATCTGACATGTTTCTTTACAGAAGAGTATGCCATGTCATTTGTAATTCAATAGTTTATGTAGATGATTGCTTCAATAACCATATATAACATTAATTCCTACCATTATTTTGTTAGCAGATATGATATTCCCTTTAGGTTAGTCTTTCTATTTATTTGTTTAATAATAATTTGTAGATATTTGCATCTGTTTCATCCAATTTTAATTCTCCTATGAAGTGAAATACTGAATGATTTAAAAAATAATAATTGGTAGTCCAATAAAATAATATAATCCTTGGAGAAATATGATTTCTAAAAATTTAAAACTTGAAAATTCTGTTGAATTACATTCTCAAATTTACCTTATTAAAATATGCATAAAACAGAATGGTGATACTCTCATTAAATAATCTCATTTCTTGACTTTTTCCAGTGACATACATCTGAAAATGAGTTTAAAGATTTATCAAAGGCCTCTGGGTATTTTCAGAATCTGTAATTTCCAAATCTGCAAAGCACAGTGAGAACATTGTGAGCTCAAGGCTAGCTTGGGCTACATAGCAATTCTCTGTCTCAAAAAAAAAAATGATGAAAGAGGTAGAAGAGAAAATAAATTATTCAGAAGTATTTAAAATTCCTTCCATTGTAATCTGTTCTAAGCAAAGTGTGATGATAATGCAATTTCCTGCCACAGATGAGTGGACAGGGAATCATTAGAATTCCTCATACTCAGTAGATTAAAGTCATCTCCAGTCTCGTGCAGGTGAATACCAGAAAGGCTATGTTACCTCAACAGTTCTGTCACAGGATCTCTTGGTTTCAATGTAGTAAAATCTGAGAATTTCCTGGTAAATTATCAATTTGCTATTAACATTTGACATTAATGTATGAATGTTTTCCGTGTTAATGGTCATCATTTATCCTGCAATAGAGCCAATGCATTCAAATGAGAGACTGTTTTTTTTTTTTTTTCTGAGGTTTGGAGTCTCTACCTCTCCATTGACAAGATGAACTGAGGCTAGCTCTGTGCCTAGGACAGGCAGAGTTAATTAGCTTGGTTCATAATAGAATGGCTAGATTATGATCAAACTGACATGAGTAGACTTTACCACAAATGTTTCAGGGAAGACTTTCCTACATCTTCTCTCAAACAGATTTGCTAAGCAGCAGCACCTTTAACTCATTATAAATTGAAATATTCACCTTCCTAAATAGAAAAATATCTATTATCAATACTGAAGTCAATCCTGCTTTTATTTGATTTATAAATCATGTTATTTCTTATTTTTGTCCCAACTATCATTTTTTAAAAGTTTTTTTGATGATTGATAACTTAGTACAATTAATGAGACCACTAATTTTTATGTATAAATTTTAGCAAATTGTTATCTCTGGAATTTTATATATGGAATGTTTCCCGTGTTTAGTGTAGCATGGCTTTTGGTGTTCAAGTCCAACTCCTCAAACACAATAGTGGGAATACAAAAGGCAGCTACATGCTTAGCAATCCTTCTTTCTTTTCTTTTTATTTATTTTTTTAATCTCTCTATCAAATTTGAGTGTTCAGCAGATAGAATGACATTTCAAACAAAGAACAAATTGGATTTTAGGTGTAAAATTGATGTGTCCATGTGACTTAATTCTCAAAATCTAAGATTCTGTTTCTTCACGAATTTGTGTGTCATCCTTGCTCAGTGGCCATGCTAATCTTCCCTGTATCTTTCCAATTTTAGTATATATCCTGCTGAAGCAAGCACTGAAACCTGTTTCTTTACAGCTTTCAAAAGTTAAGTAAATGACCAATAGTCTGTTGAGAAAAAAATTCCGCCACAGTATTCCCTGAAGACTCATGGCAATGAGTCTGATTTATGTAACATCCAATGGGTATTTCTCATGTCTCTTTGCCAACACTGTCATCCTTTAAGGAAAAGAATTTTTGATTGTCAGAATCCTCTTCCTTTCTATTATGAATAAATTTATTTCTTTACTATATATATATGCATGTATGTGCATGTGCCATGTACGTGTAGAAGTCTGAGGAAAACTTGTAGGAATTGGTTCTCTCACTTCAACATCTGGTTGCTAGGCACCTAATTGAAGTTCTCAGGCCTAAGAGCACATGCCTTTACCCACTGAGCCATCTTGCTGTTCCATTCAGTGTCCTTTGTAGTGTGTGTTTCACAGTTGTCCATGAGAGCTTGGAAGGTAGTATTGAGCTGGAAAAATGTATTTTTGTAGGGAAAACATTAAGAGCTTCAGCCATTTGTCTGATTTATTGGGGAATCTGTGTAAACAATGAGGTGGGATATACCCTCAGCAGAGCTTAGGTAGGCCTCCGTGTATGCCCACAGCAAGCTCCTGTTAGATTTGTGTTGCTGTTTAGGTTTGTGACGTAAAACTGGGCATTTTCAAGGGTACCCTGTGCTACACAATGAGTTAAAGATAATTATGGCTACAGAGTGAGGCCCATGTCATAAAACACCACCGAAACTAAAAATGAAAGCTGAAGGTGTGAGTGAGAATGTTGTCTTCTTATGGTAGACATTATGTTCTGAGGAATGAGATTTCCCAGGCCACCAAGAAGGATCAGCAGGCAGTTAACATTAAGTCTGATGGCCTGAGTAGGTTTCACAGGACCCACATAGTCAAAAGAGAGAAATGACTCTTGCAAGTAGTCCTCTAACTACAGGGGAACACTGTGGAACACATGCACACTAGGAACACACACACACACACACACACACACACACACACACACACACTGAAAGAATAAAAATACACAACAAAAATTTTAAAGGAATTTTTCAGAAATAAAAACAAAA